CGTTTCGAAGCGCCGGGAATTTAAAAAATAATGATTAAAACGCGATAAAATAAGTGAAACAATTTTATTTAACAATGTTTATTAATGTTTTAAAATTTTTTCACTGTATTTTTCTTTCTTGAGTCCCCGGACTAACTGAATCTGCAGTATTCGATACGTCAGGAGTTAAAACCTAAATTAAATACGAAAAAACCCGTGAATTTATATTACAATTTATACTCCACTTTTATTATATTAGTTAAGGACTGAAAAAGCGACAGCCTGCTTTTAATTCGATGCATGGCAAGATATTTGCGGTCCTATTAATTTATCCGTTGACCGTTCCGCATAGAATCATTACAATTTTACGGTGGTAGGGCCACGCAGCAGCCTCGCTGTTGCACATATGGGCAGGCTCGTCCGGGTAAGTACCACGATCTCACAGAAGACCGGCGTAAAGTGGATGTATAACAAATACTTTCGCGTTTGGTAAGTGAGGTAGCCGCAGCCCAATTTTCAAAAGGTTGTCAACGCATCTGCAACCCTCGGGTGTGGCCGATGTCCATGGGCGGCGGTATTCACTTAACATCAGGTGAACCGTCTGCTCGTTTGGCAACATTTCACATAAAAAAAATCATTACAAACTCCGATTCATAATGGACTCGTGAAAAGCACTACCTAATACTACCGGCTAAAGACCCTTTTGATAATATTTAACTAAGTTAACGTTAAAAAGACTATGGAGCGGAGGCTTTTAATGTAAATCAGGCTTCGCAAACGCAATTTCGCAAGACTCTGATAAACGTGAGCATTAATAAGTCCATTTTTATTAAGGAAATACAATACCGACTTCAAATATCTCGCTCTGTATTCATTTTATAATTGATTTTCAGGAGTTCCCCAAGTATCTGCTGAGCCCAAGATCCAATACCAAAGGAATTAATATGGAACCACGTGGGAAGCACCAGCTTTCAAACAAATAAAGAATTATCAAGATCGGATCACCTCGTCAAAAGTTATGAGGTAACAAACAAGAAGACGGTTGAAAACCTCTCGATTCACTTCAATTATTATGACGACTCCGTGGCGCAGTTGCCGAGGTATTGGCTTAGTGTCGAGGGTCGTGGGTTCGATTCCCACACGGGACAGCTATTTGTGTGACCCACAGAAAGTTGTTTCGCATCTGGGTGTTTGTCCGCTTGAAATTTATGTTTGTAACGTCCTTAGAACACAAGATTATGTTCTCCCAAAGTAAGGGCATTTTTATTAAAAAAAAAAAAACTTATGTTTGTTCTCACGAAATTTACGTCATCAATACAGAGTATTGCATACGTAGATGGCAAAATAGAAAGCATTCAATATTGAACGGCTAATAAATGGCCGCAGTGAAGTATCAAGTAACTTCTATGCAAAATTCATACGACCAATAATTGTTATTTTGATAACCAATGTTGACAAAGTCAATCTAATATCTGTTAAGAATCTCTAATCCATGTGCATATTTTTTTTGCAACAGATTATTAACAGACGACCCGAATGGCGTAGTGGGTAGTGTACCTGCCTCCGGCGCCAGAGGGTGTGGGTTCGATCCCCACTACTGGAAAAATATTGTGTGATGAACATGGTGTTTTTCTAGTGTCTGGGTGTTTCTATATGTATAATATGTATTTATTTACAAAAGAAAAGTATGTTTAAGTATGTTTATCAGTTTTCTAGTACCCATAGTACAAGCTTTGCTTAGTTTGGGACTAGAAAATGTTGTGTACAAATGTGTCCTAAAATTTATTTATTTATTTATTTATTTATTAGCAAAATATTCTTTCTATAACCTGCTATGTATTTAAAACTTTTAAAGAAAGTAAGAATTATTGAATGGCCTCTAAAAAATTTTGCTCTGTTATCGAGTTTTGAGCCATGTTTAAATATTCATTTCTGTAGTTCAGTTGTAAGGTAATAAACATCATAACAAGTTGTATATCGAACGGGTAGACAAACAATAAAGCCAGGTAATAAAAAAGTTGTTAAAATGGTTAGAGAGAATTTGTAGTATATTTCTTCCTGAGAACCATTATAGTACTATATTTTTGAGAAATCATTGTGTGTTTATATTCCTTTTGTATGTTTTTATTACACGTCTTTAACTGGAGGGTATGCTTTCACAATTAATACCAGTATGGTAGATAGATATAACTACTCTCGAGTATTTATGACAAAAATGAACAGCATAACGAAGCATCAGCTAATTGACGATTCAATAAGTTTTGATATATTTATATTAGTTCATTGTGTGTGATATCAATTATGAAAATAAATGAGAAACTCCATCACAAAGCATCGAAACACTTTTCGAGCAGGACCGATGCAGAATGCAGTACAGCGGTAACGAGATCCCACGTACGTAACACGAGGGAATTGTATTAATGTAAATCAATACGTGGGTCGAGGCCCCACGTAGAGCTCTTACGAGATATTGGCCGGAGGAAACGAGTTTCTTTAGAAACCCGCAACGCTACACAATGCATCGACCGCCTTTCATTTTCGTGCTGTAGCAATCTTTTCGTTTCGTCCTCGCGTTACACCTTTCGGCTCTAAATATTGGCCTTTTATTTTGCTCGATCTCCCCCCTTTTGACCGAAATGGTGTAGACAGAAATACATAATTCCACGTTTCACCACGTTTATTCTGTACAAGAGTTTAGACGCGAGAATTAGTCGAATGTTTTTATGTACGAACGGGTTTTTTTTTGGCACGGGTTCCCGAGGGAGCGTCAGCTCGGGCTATTATTATCATTACGGGTTTGTGAGGCCAAGCTCTTAGGGCGCTTTGGTGGACGCTCCATGCGATGAACCTAGCGGTAGGGGCTCGTAAGTGACGGCACTTACAAACAACGTATTGGGATACGCGGCGGCGGATTCGAGTAGCGGCGCGACGCCGACTTCAGGAATTGAGCAATGGTTGGCGGCTCTAAATCTACATGTGAATCGATGTTCCGCATGGGCCACGGTGCTCCCGTAGCTCTGCGCAAAAATTGACTCTGGATGACCCGAAGCCGGTGTATTTGTGCGCGAAGACCGGACTCGCGTACGTCATGATGGGGCGAACTACAGCCTTATATAATCACATTTTTGAAGTTTTATTTAAAAGGGGATACAGGCGACCTAGTACGAAGGCTGCCCGGTTCCTGACGCGAGTCACGTGCTGGCTGAATTTGAGCTTAGAGTCAAGGACGACAACTAGTATTTGACTTTATTTACCCATGGAACCGGACTATCCATGAGTTTAACGGGTGCACCGTAAGACGTAGCTGCTTTGGCGAATTAAACAGTCAAGGTCCGATGCAGCTGTGCAAGTAGTGGCTATCTGCACCATATACCGGTGATATGTATCGCCACATAAATGTTTAGGTAGCAGACCTTCATCTAAAATCATGTCGGAATGCCACATATCACAATTTATTGCTGCCCAACATAATATATCTTGTACCGGGCTGACATAGGTGACGCTGCGATGTCCGTTATGAAAATTTAGTGCCTGACTCGCAACACGTGTTCGGTTTTAAAATAAATAACTTTGTTTTTCGCCTAACAAACGTTTGCATCGGGCGCTGATGATGCAAGTTTAATATTTAGAAATATATTGCCCTTTTTATGACCAAACTATGAAACTGGTAACTTTCAATCATCAGTCAATAAATGAAATATATTTACGTGAGTATCCTTAAGTATGGAGTCAGATATGGCTTAGTGTCTGAGATTTTGACCTTACGGTTTTCAGGTCCCAGTGGATTTATATAAACTGTACTGTACCTTGTAGTTATGTACCGTGGTCAGCTAAGCGTCTAACCGCATGTGGGCAGGACACCTAATGTTCACGTGCAGCCTTCGGACACAAATACACGAGCCAGAAAGATCGTCCTTAATTGAGTACATCTAAAAATAATAACAGAAAGTAACTGGTCTGATATCGAAGAATTAAACATTTTGAACAAATTTAACATTTTGATCAAGTTTCGTCAAACTTCAAATTACCAATATTTACAACTCCTAAATGCGCAACAAATTAACGCTTTAACGATCATTTATTTAATTAATAAACTGTTAGCACTCGATTTTTGGAATAACAGCCTCTTTTCCTTAATAAGGCATATTAAATTCAACAGCGAAACGTTTATAATTAAATACGGTTTAAATAAACAGAACAGCTTTATTATCGTCGCCCCGTAAATAAATTTTACAAACATCCTTGAACTTAATATTTGCCCTTTTTATTGTATTTCAAGTAACTTCCCAAACTTACTTAGATTATAGATTATAGGTTTGTTGCTCAAAAACAAAAATGTACATACAAATTATAATAAAACCAAGTCTTTGTAATAAAAGTAAAAACAACAGTTTTCATTATTTTGTATGTGTCAACATTTCAATAACTTATTTCATTGTGTTCGTTTAAGAAAAGTTCAAACTATGGCAGTCTGTTATGTGAGTCAGCAGTTTCTGACAAAAAAAAAATATTTTTAATGTTGCTGATCACAACAGAGCTCCTGGCAAAGATCTATCGTTATTCTGAGTTTCCAAAATACGCCACTGTACTTTCGAATTATCGTTACAATAGATGCGCCAAAAATTGCCTAAAATGCGGAAAACTTATGTGGATGTAGAAAATTATGTTGAGATTTTCGTCAGTGTAGCAATCAGCCGTTTAGCTTCGTGATTCGATTTACGAAGCGGCGAAACTTTCGGCGGAACTTTTCGTCCATTTATTCGTCCATTTTCTAATTAGATTAGCATTAGAACAAAATATATTTTTTTTTTTCATTCAAATTATCACAACTATGGTCTTTTCCTATATTCGCCCGAGATTAAAATGCGATTACATATTTACGCCAATTTACGGATATAATTGTTAATTTAAGCTACAATAATATACGTCAATTCTTAGATTGGAGTGTTTACTTTTGGGGCCTAGGAATACATACAAGCCTAAACTTTGGCAGTTGCACTATGCTATAACATACGTTATTAAACTACAAATATTTTTAAGTCAACACTCACCTGAGTTATACTCCAGTAGCGGTCCAGTGAGATGAGGCACAAGTTCATAATAGACGCCGTACACAATAGAACGTCCATCGCGGAGTGTATTTCGCACCACCAGAAACCGAAAATCCAGTAGCCCATCAGCTCGTTTGCCAGCGAGAAGGGCATTATCACCAAACCGAGGAAGAAGTCCGACACTGCCAGCGACGCTATGAACCAGTTCTGTATGTTCTTCAGCGCTTTCTCCGTCACGATCGCTATGATCACCAGCATGTTGCCCACCACGACCATTATCATCAGCACCGTCACCACCACGGACGCGATGATGATGTGGGCGGGGGAGTAGCCACTCGGGTACCAGGTCTTCAGCACCACCTGGTTGATGAACGTGTCGTTCGGCCCAGACGTGGTGTTCGCGTCTGACGTGTTGGTCATCTGCAGCGCGAGGAACTCCTCCTGGCTCATGTAGGTCGGCACTAGGAATGAGGAGTTCAGGCCCATTGTCCCATTAAAGTGCGTGCTCATGGTCGTCTTCGCGGCATACAGGGTGGTCGCGTTTGCTATCATCCCGCCTATCTAACTGTTTACGTTTGCGAAGCACGTTTTCGTGCGTAATTCACCTAGCTACGAACTTTTATAGTGCGAGACGTATTGTGGTAATTGTGAATTGGACCCCTATTGTTTTAAAAGTTTCTCTAATCTTGATGTTTAATTTTCATTTATTGTGGTTAGTAACAGTATAAGATTATTTTGTGATTAACCTATCTATTGCTTTCGAACGAATTTGTTTTAAGTTTCAATTTTATTTAGGTTCTTGTTTTAATAACGTTCCAGCTGACCGTTATATATTGTACTCAAATATATTAACAAGTTTCAAAAGCCTACTTTATTACAATTATCATTTACATTAAAAACGCTTCTATCATTTAAATCCGAGATCGCTGCGGGAATTACTTACCTAATATTGCTTTCAAACGACACGTTAAACTTAAAAGGAATCGACACAACAACGAAAAAATTACGCGCAAATCAAAAGTAACTTTAATACACACACGCGCACCGGATGGCGACACACAAAGAAGCGGAACTACTTTAACTAGGTCAGCGTTCTTCTAAAACGTAAAATCGACCCCGGTCACTTTATACAGCTGTAGGAACGGTGTCGTGACGTCATCGCGCGACCCTAGTCTTTCTCCTGTCTGAGAATCTGTCGGTAGCTGCAAACATCGTCCCGGTCATGCCGCGTCACATCGTCACTAGCTGGCTCGCATTTCCCGCACTGATGTTGATTACCGTCGCTTGACGGTCACTAAAACCCAGCCATCGGGTGCTGCCGGTCGAACTGGGCTGTGCGATACGGTCACTTGCAATTCCTAAAATCCAATGGATTCCCGCGTTATACCTGGAAAAGAAAACCATGAATAAGTTCATTAGCTCCACGTTATTTTTTTATATTTTTTTCATATATTTTTTTTAATTTTTACTTTTTATTTATACTTTTACTTTTGTGCTTGTTACTGTAAGTTTTGCATGAATAAATAACACATAAAAAATGACGAACTATCCATGATGGCATCAATTCCAGCCGATTGCTTTTCGAATTAAATTTTTATTTATGTTCAAATTATTTTTTTTATTTTATACCTGATTGTTTACGACCTCCCGTATCGCGCAACGTTTCTAATAATGTTGCGCGTTTCTAATTCGTAAATTGCTTTAAAAAGTCAACGGTTGCAGCAAAAATAGGTCCATCTACGTTCCGCAAAAATCATTAGCGACGCTCCGCAAATACTTCAAAATGAAAGCACACATACACTTTATTTATCCAACATTTACCACATTTAATCTATTAAAATTACATATTATCTAACAAACCTAATCCACGCGGCATGGTGCCAACAACGCTAGCTGCATTTCCTCGCTGAATAGTTATGCTTAACCTTTGAACGAGAAAAGCACCAGCTCTCCCGTCACCAGCCGCCTTAAGCCTAGGACATAAACCTTTAAAAAATTTCGATGTCACCCACGGACCCAAAGTTTCAACAGCAAATGGCACAAGTACATAATCTAAACACAGAGACTTATAATTGCGCCATTTACTTGATTCAGCTGCCTCCGAAGTACCCCTTAGATGAGAGGCAGCCGAAGTATCTACACAAGTAGCGTCCCAAACAAGAGCAAAGTTAAACCGTCGGGTCTCTTACCATCGTCGCGAAATGCCACAGGGCTCTAAAATATACGGTACATTGATGGAAACAAGAGCCCTACGGATGATGTACGGCCGGCACTTTTTCCACAAGAAAGCCCGTGGAGACCAAATTGGGCAACATTGACTCCACAAGGGCATAATATCAGAGATACAGAAAAACCAATGACCACCGACGCCGGTTACCTTGGCAACTTCACCACGGAGTCATCAACAGTGAGTTTGATGTTTGAAGTCCGTTCTGTTTTTTGTTACTACAAATATTTACTACTACAAGGAGTATTTCAGCATCAACAACTGAGCGATTAAAACGAAAAACGAATTTCGAAAGATCCTAAAATTTCATGAGTACTAATAAAAGGAAAATCACGCACGACGAACACCGCATGTTTGTCGAAAAGTAAAAAAAAAAACCGGTCGAATCAAAGTCGCGCGGTCATTTCACATGGAAGTCAAAAGAACTCGCTGCCCGGACGTGGAATCAATCTTTACTCCCCTAATTGAAATCCAAACAAAAAGCGCCCTGGCGATGTGAGATGGATGCTTTTTGCGTCCTGCTCTTTTATATATATGTTGAACAAAGGCAACACTGCTACAGCGGATAGCTGCAATGGGTTTTTCAGTGCAGTACGTTTCTCTTTGAGCGCGATTAGCTTTAATTGTTTTGTTTTCAGTTTGATTCGTTTGTGTATGTCGTAAGCTGTAAAGGTAGTTATTTTATTGACAGCTGTTATTTTATATGTCCTATTGAGGGTTTTATTGTGTAGTCTGCCAAACGAGGTCACAGTTGATTGGCAGAATCAGATTTATACTCAGTTTGCTCTAGTCTAAAACAATTAAAACAAATATATCTTCATTAACAAACACAAAACCAAGTCGAAATAACTCACTCACAAAACATTTCTATTTGATTTGCGCCCAAAGTGCAATACCAAATAAATTAATAGGAAATTAAAAGCAAAGTAGCAATCTGTATAAATGTCCCAATGCTTGTCAAAGGCTTATTCTGTTCAGAGGGTAACAGGGCATAGTCCACCACGCGACCCCATTGTGGATTGGCGGACTTCACATATCTTTGAAATATTTTTTTTATTACTTCGAAAATATGCAGATTTCCTCACGATGATTTCTTTCACCGCTGAGCACGTGCTAAGTCAGCACATAAAGTTAACAATTTCATTGGCGCCGGCACCGGGGATCGAACTCAGGTTGCTCGAGTATATTGAATTAAAGGCGAGTGCCCGGACACTGAGCTATCACGGCTCTATGTCTTTACTTATACGTGTACATTTATGCAGAAACTCTCATTTTTTTACACGACTGTGGCTTTATTCTATTTTGACTAAAGCAGTCCACCACCTAATTCTGTTTCAAAACGGAGTATTTTACATGACTTCGTAATATTTGTTGCTATTTCATATACCACCTGCATCTCCCATTGACCATGAACTGAAACTGCGGTAAGGCCACGAGATAATCTTTACACGACTAGGTATGTCTATCCGGGGAAGTACCACGACCTCACAGAAGACCGGCGTGAAGTGGATGTAATATGCTTCTGTGTTTCGTCTGGTGAGTAGGGTAACTGGGACCCACTTTTTTAAAGGTTGTCAAAGCCTTTGCAAACCTTTGGGTGCTGTAAATATTAACAGCCGGTTAACCACCTGTTTGATTGCCAACTTTTCACATAAAAAAGGCACATCATCAAACAAAAAAATTGCAGTAATATCACCGGTATTGACTACCAGAAAATGAACTCTGGGTCTCTAGAGTATACTGAGCTACTACAGCTTTAGCTGAAAGCCATATTCAAACCGGTTCACTTAACACGGACCGTGCAAATGCGCCGGTAGATAAGTAATATGCATTTTCTGCAATCTTTATCGTACGTTGAATATTAATCAATTCACTTTATTAAATCGCAATTTATATTCAGCAAACTTCACGACGGGAGTAGATATCTTAATAAGATATCTCCCATGACAAAGCACTCTACGCTAAAATTAATCCAATTTTTTCAGTAAATATACAAGAAAAAAAATTTTATTGGATCTTATTAGCCCCGGTAAGGCGCTGAAGTATATTTTTTAGGTAAGCTTAAATTATAACCCTAGTATGGTTATAATTTAAGCTTACCTAAAAACCTGCTGCCCGCGGCTACGTCTGCGTAGAATAGGCTATAGACGAAACATTCAGACAGAAAGATATAAATTATAGGCTATGTCTTATTCTGATGTATAAGCTATATTATTGCAAAGTTTCATTAAAATCCAATCAGTAGTATTTGCGTGAAAGAGTAACAAACATCCATCCATACATACAAACTTTCACCTTTATAATATTAGTAAGGATTGTTGTATGTGCAGTCGCCTTTTGGCTTCGGTGCAAGGGGTCGTGGGTTCGATTCCCACACGGGACATCTATTTGTGTGACCCACAGATTGACAATTGTTTCGGATCTGGATGTTTGACTACCAGAAATTTGTGCTTGTAAAACGTTATAACACAGGATAATTTTTTTAAAAAATATTCCACGGTGTATCCTGTCCAGATCTACGGGTCCATTAACTCCATCATCCCTCCGAATAATTCCTTGTCATGATGCAGGAGCTAAGTAGCTGCGGCATGCAATGACAAAGCCGAAAGGAATCCAAACAGAGCCAGCTTTAAGGCTTTGAGCTTGGTTGAGATGTTCTTGGTTGAGATGTTCTCGGCTGACAGACACTAATTCACCATTAATTCGGTACAGGTACGATATGCTGTTTTCTCTACCTATCGCGGCCAAAACGCGGTGTTCGCTGGAAGCCCAGTTCTAGTCAGTCAAAGGGGGTCGAGAGACTCCACTGGATTCCAGGGCCGTGGGACTTGGCAATACTTTGGTTCCAATACGTTTTTTATCGAAAATTTGTGTGTTTACCTTCTTTAAATATTATAACAGTATCATCATTCAAGATTTAATGATTAATCAAAAATAAGTTATTTATATCATTCTCTATCTCTATATCATTGATACGAATAGCAAAACTCCCTACTTTTAGGTAGGCTGACCTCGCAAAGATTCATTGAGGGAATCCAACCTGGAAATTAATAAACAGCAGTAGTCGCGCCCGACTCTTAGCGTTAATTGGTTCAGGTGTGCGATTTACTACGGTGCGGAGCGCTCACGAGAAATTTCCAAAGTTCAGTTAACTCGATTGGTGCAATTTTGCTGGCGGCATGACGTCGCGCTCTGAGCTCAAACGTGTTAATGACATTAATAGGCGTGCGTAATATGGAAACGATGTGTGGTGGCTGGTTTGTCTTAGGGAGATGGCATCCAGCAAGCGGTTCGGCAGATAAATGATCAATTTGCTCTATGAAAA